ATCTTTTTGTTATATTTTTATATGTATATATATATATATATATATTTATATCTGTGTTCATTCATTGCGGAGTAACTTTGATTTATACTGAGATTCGCATATCTTTTTGAGCTACTTTTAATTTTCGTCTATATATCTTTACTGTAAGTTCAATAGTCATGATCAGTGATGGATTTTTGTGGTTTTGCATGTATAGAAATTGGATCAGCATGTGCTCTGTTTTAACTTAATCGAAGTTTAATTTATAATTTCATTTTGTTTGTATTCATGTGATTTTGCAGTGATTGCTCATGGAATCAATGTCGGAGATGTGAAGAAGCTTCAAGATGCTAGGATCTACACTTGCAATGGCTTGATGATGCACACGAAGAAGGTGCATTTATTTTCAATTTCGATTTTGTGAAGTTTTTAAGTTTGGCGTTTGCATTGATGTTAAGGTAGCCAAAACACATTTGATGATTATTTGATGATTTTGTAGATCAACTGATACTCAATTGGAAGAAAACTTATATATATATATATATATATGTATTTGAAATGTTTAGTTGAATTAATACTTGTTGAAAATTTGATCAAATTTTTTTGCTATGTTAAATTAAATCTAATATTTGGACTTTCGAATTGGTCATGCTAGCAAAAAGCAACTACGTTCATTCATCATAATAACGTGTATTTGGCATGATAGCTTCACATGATATTGAATTGAATGCCTTAATTTGTGAATCATCATAATTGAGCAGTTCTTTAATCTCGTGTAGTACAACCACTGTTAATTTGCTTTGAATTGATGATATATGAATTTGGACCATATTGTTCTTCTGAATCTTGTTAATTTTTTAATTCTGCTTCCTTAGTGGAGTTCATTCATCTTAATATGAATTTGGACAAGGTGTGCTCCCTATTTATGTTGTACTTTGATCATTAGTTTTTGACTCAAATGTTTGTACTGTTGCATTTTGTTAGATGACTAAGATTTCTTCTTGTAGGTAGAAAAAATCATCTAATATTTCCTTTGGTTGACTAGTTTCATTAAACTCTGAACACTGGCACCGACACTAATAGTTTCTCTTACAGAGCTTGGTGGGATGGATTGGACTGAGTTTCCTTTTTACTAGAAATACAAGTGTTGCTACTATAGTTTGCCCCTGTTTATTTTTTATTTTATTTTATTTTCCAGAACTACTCAATCATTTCCGACCATCAAGAAGTCATTGATGGAAGACCAGGGACTCTGGGAATAGAATCCTTTGTAGGACGTGCCCGAGGGAAACACCAAGGACCAAAAGATTGACACATTCAATAAGCAAAACAATGTCAAAACCCAGGTCAACCCAATACAATTCAGCAACATTAAGACAAGTAAAAAACACTAACACACATTTTTAAGTAAAAAAATAATTCTAAATTTTAACTAAAAGGACACCATCACCCACAAAACTAACACAAATGTCAAAGACAGCCACAATCCATCAATAAGCATCCAAACACAGTAAAAGTTTGGAGGAACTGAACTAGATTGGAAGATCATGTAGTTATAGATTAAATTGTTGTCTTCTTTTAGGAGTATTTTGTCTTCAGTCCACCAACATAAATGAGATGGTTCAGCTGAGCCTATGACAGTAAAGTCTATGAGGTCCACCATGACTATCATTATGACATTGTGATTTGTTCATGATCACATTATACATTACAATAAATAAAAATTTTAAGTATCAAAGTTTTTTGTCTTCAAAAAATAAGAATTTTGTTGTAAAAATCATTTGAAACCAATTCTTATCGTGGAGAATTTTGTTATAAAAAACATTTGGGACCAATTCTTATCGTGACGAGTATAATCGTTAAAAAGTCATCTCAAAAAGTCAAAAAAAGAATTTTTAGCAGCAAAATTTTTAGGAAAATTGCTTATTTATTTGTATCAAGGTGACAATGGCAGTGGATCCTTCTAATGTTGAATCTTTTTGGGGTATGTTGGTTGTTAATTTTGATTTTTTTTGGTTTTTATTAGTTGGTGCACTCTTTTTGAATTACATCTGTTGGTGTGCTTTACTTTGCTTTTGTTGAATTTTTATTTTTATGCCATTCGTGTATAAGTGGTATGTGACTGTGTGGGTGGGGGAGGGGAAAAACAGAGAGTGTGTGTGTGGCACGTGGTGATGGGAGGAGGGGAATAACAGTGGGGGTGTTGGTTGTGCGTAGGGTGTTGGTTGTTGCGTTTGTGTTTGACATTTTCACGTAGCATAAGGCACCTAGAATCCTCATTCTTCATGTAAATTATGTATTTTCGAAATGGCAGCTTCTCTGTTTACTACTATGTGTGTACCAATTGGAGCAATATTATGCTTTTCCTCTTTTAGGCCCTGAGTACTATTTATTTGATAATTGTTCCATATTATTTACTCTCTTTATGTGTTTGTCTAAACTCTATTCTTTAAGCACCATTATGTTCTGTTTTTATATGGGCTTTTGACGGAAGCAATGGAAGCACCTATAGGTTTGTGGTATTCATTCGTCTTCAAATCTTGCTGGCCCTGTTTGGATATTCAGTGTTTTGTAGAAGGCGGAAGCGGAGGAAGAGTGTTTTTACCATAGAAGATCGGTACTTTGGTCATCATAAAAATCATGTTGAAGTCCATTTTATTTTTTGGTCTCTTCTTGTTTTGAAGATCTTGTATAATGGAAACCAATTTTTGGGACTTCACTTCATCTTGTCCTTTGTCTTACCTCCTGAGATAAGCTAAGAAAATCCATGCTATCACCCTCCTTGGATACAAAATCTGAGCCTGATATTAGGAAATTTGAAGATGATTTCTCCTGATGGTAATTTTCTTCTAACTGCAGCTATCTTCTTTTTAATAATTCTAATCACTGCTCCAGGCTGGACTGGTCTTGGATTTGGCAAATGGTCCGCCTCAATTCCCTAGGATCTTGCATTTTCTTTGCTTACTCTTCATAGTCGCATCAATGTCAAGAGCCAAACTCGCTTCAAAGAACACATCAGCACCTGATCCACTCTGTCTTTTTGTGCAATCGGGAAACCTAAACAACCTTGTCATCCTCTGAGGATTGCCATATGATTCTCACTATGGACCTAATCTAGGTATGCCTCTTCCCGTACTCACTCTTTCAACCGCTCTAACCTTCAATCCTGGATCAAGAGTAATTGTCAATCCAAAACTCTGGCACAGTTCCAATATCAGTTGGAAAGTTCTATTTCCATTTACCGCTGCTTAGGCTAACACTTTGGAAAGCGAGAAACACCCTTCTGTTTTTGATCCCAATAATCCAACCCCTTTCCAATATTTGGAACTACCATTGCTGCAGCTACAGAATGATAACTTGTGACTCTGCCTATGCCTTAATCCCTTAATTGGAGAATTCTAATAGTTGTACGAACCATGCCAAAGCAAGGTTGTTGGATAATATAATACCTAAACTTTATCTATGGTCTTTGTAGGTAACGATTATCTAGCTACAAGACTGCGTCTGCCTTGGACAGTGGACCATTTTGGTGTAGGGTTTCTTCGCTTGTTGCTTCTTTATCTACCAGTTAGTCAAGACGCAACATTTTCTAAATTAAGAAAAATTCAAACCACTGCAGTAAAGCCTTCGCAGTAGTGGATGAGGGCATTTTTTTTTTGTGCATATGTATGTCTATGGCTTGATAATTATTTAAATTTGCAGCCTCTGCATGCTTACTCTATGTTTTCTTTGGAATTTTTTTTTGGATTTTGTTCAAGTATGTTAGAGTGCCATTGGTCTCAAAATGCCACCACCTCCTTTACACCACCGTTTTAATGAGCAACAACAGCACCATCACATTCTCAGCCTTTTTGTTGGTCATGACGAACCAGATTAGAATCAGCGTCCTTCCAGGTCATTCAGAGGGTCTCTCTGGTACGCTTTGCTTCAGATGTTGCGATGGAGATGAACAATGTGCTTAACAATCTCTATGGAAACCAAAGAGTCAATCAAAGGTGCGAAGATTTGGTTTATGCAGAGTCCTGCCATTTGCACGCAGCTCTGGCCGAGGCATTTAGGGACGGTGTTTAGTGCGGATGATTCTGAGAGACAATTGCATATAATTTACGCTTAGCCAAATGACAAATTCTATTTGACAGGTACAGCTTCCAGTGCTATGGCCAAATCTTAGTTCAAACATAAATTTGAGTGCTGTTGAAATGAATTTGATTTTGGGGCTCGGCTTTTCTGTCTGTGACTACCTATTGCTTTATTTTCTTTCTTCTTTATTACATCTATTGGCAGGATTCTAATTCACTGATATTTTCTGGCCTCTTAATGCTTCCATCTGCTTCATATCTCGTGTGTCAACTGGCTACTTGAGTACATTATTCATGCTTGTCCTTCGCCAAATTTGTCATATAAAAAATAATAATAAAATTTGATTTCCTCCCAGTAGAAATTTCTTTTTAAGTTGTCAACTTGATAATGATAATTACATCTGGTGTTTAATGAATAATGTGGTATTGGATTTATGCCTGGTATTATATTTTGGCAAGATAGCAAATGTTTCTTCCGATTTTGAATGATATAATTAAGGGGAATTAAAATCGAGCTATTGTGAATTGCGAATGCAGGAAATTATTTCTTCTTGATGCTTTCTTAATTGTTTAATACTTTTGGTGCTATCAATGTGTGGCATTGATGCTACATATGTTTATCTTTGGGTTATTCTGAAATATGCAGCTTGCAGCGTAGGATCAAACCTTCAATGAGCTTGAATAAAGAGAAGGGAAATGCAAAGTGTCAGATGTGGAGACAATCCAGGAAGCTCATAGAGAAGGGAATGCTAACAAGAGAAAGTGCAAGGCACAACCGGTGCAAATGAGGAATCATCACAACACGTTTCACATGCCAGTCTTAGCTTTTGCTATACAAAGGTCAGCTGATGGCAGTGAATCTTAAGCCTCCGAGAGTTTGTTTGCAGCTCTCCTTCATAGATCTCGCTAGAATGAATGAGATCCAGATACTACTAAAGGTTCAATCCTTTTGACTCTTTGGGCTTATCTTTAGATATTTATTCATCAATGAAGGTTCAATATGTCGACTTCCTATGGCCTGCAGATCCATGATTTTGACATAACTTTTTCATATTTGTAGGAGATGAAGCTGTGTTGAGCAGATCAACCCCAGGAAATCAGTTGGATGATTATATAGCTAGATTGAATGCAATCCTGTCCCCAGAGGGCTGCTGGCATTCTACAACAACAAACCCCGTCTGACGTCTAAAAGGAAGCATAATGTTCTAGTGTCTCTTTTGATTGCTAGACTAGTATATGTAATCATTTTCTATGTTGTTAGATTCCATTCTTTTTTCAGTGCTCCAAGATAAACTGTGATAAATATAATTAAAATAATATTAAGATTTTTTTTTTTTGCACAATGATTGGTGGAACTATCATTTATATGATTTTATTATTTGAGTGGGAGTTTATTCATTTTTATTAGTGTTATTCAATTTTATTAGAGGTATTTTTTTAGTTAATTTGCATAAAACTTTAGCACCAATTTCAAAAAAAAAAAAGGGATACCAAACGGCGTTTTTAAGAAAACGCGCGACTAAACCTATTAATCTATACGGTCAGGACTTTTTTCAAAAAAATATAACGACGTTTCAAAAACGTCGCTAAATATCACAGTGATGTCATAGTACTGTTAGATAAGACATTTGGCGGCGTTTTTAAAATGCTGCCTATACTAATATAGCGACGTTTTTCAAACGTCGTAAAGTTATAGCGACGGCCGCATCATCGGCGTTTGGTACTAAACGTCACAAAAAGAATTAGCGACGTTTTTAGTACTTATAGTGGCGTTTTTTAAACGCCGCTAAAAGTGAATTTTCTTGCAGTGATTAATTCAGTGAGATTGAAGTGTGAGATTGAACTTTTCATGTCTAATATATCTCTGTTGTTCGATTAAAAATTTATAAGTCAAATTAATAGTTCGATCAGACTGTTAATTTCTCTTTATTAGCTAATAAAAATACAATTTTGCCATCTAAGTATTTAAAATTTTTATCAAATGTCTCACATAGATATGGGACTCACATTGTGTGGGTCCAACATCCATATAGGACATTTGATAGAATTTTTTAATAAATTTTTTAAAATTTCTAGCATTACTAAAAGAATTTGGTTGTTAGAAGAAAGTGATGTTTGGAAGCTCTAATTGAAAGTAAATATTAAAATTTTCATGTATCTGATTAATCATGAGAAATAAAATTATTTTGATTAGTTAAAATTAAGTTTGTCAAAGTTTCAAAATAAATGTGTGTCTTTCCAAAATTTTGAACTTTAATCCATTTTAAATTATGGGTAACCCTAAAAGAAGAGTATTAACCCATTTTGACAGTTAAGTCAATTAAAAGATATAGGTCCCACAAGAATATTTTGTCAAAATTTGATAGAGGAACACAAATTCAAGTTCAAAATTCAAATTTAAAAAATTTCTATAAAATGAGGAACAAATTTTCTCTTTTCTTGGAAATTAAAATTAATTTTGGAGTTTTCAAAATTAACTCTTCTCTCGAGCCTATTAATCGACTCCAAAATTAACTCCTCTCTTGAGCCTATGAATCAAGGCTCTCACTATTGAGAAAAAGGAGGAGACATTTGGGCTACAGTTTTGTAAACTTTTAAGTAATCTCGAGACTCTGTCGAATTCTTCTTAAAATTCTCTTTAAAAGTTCTTCAAGTAAAGGATTATTAAGCACAATAAAACTTGTGCTAATCCCTTCAAGTTACAAATATAAATTTGATCTTTCCTCGCAAAGAGATCATTTTAAAGTTAATTTGAGATCAAGTCGTTCCAACCCGAGATCAACTCGAGATC